ACCGCGCGCTCAAAAAACCGGTTCGGCACGCGTTTTTTCTCGCGCCCCATACTAGCAAATGTAAGCATTGACATATTTTTTATGTTTATATTTGCATATTTTGTTAGCACCTGCTTATGAACAGGGTTTAAAGTGTTAAGCCAGGGTTTAATTAGTGGTTGGGTGGTTAATGAAAAAAGGTGGGCGAGTTTTTAATGCTCAAATCGCAACTAATTGTTAGGTAAGAATGTAGGTCATAGCTTAGGATACTTTATTTACGGTTATTTTTTATCAGTTCAAGTTACAGAATAAACAACGATAAAAGTATTAAGAAAACTTGAACCGCAAATCTTTCTTGATGATTTATAGCTGTCAAAAGTGCAATGACACTGTCCGCAAAAATATTTTTTTGTTCTTATAACTATTAAGAACAAAAAAAAAATGTTTCTCATTTATTTTCAATATATGTAAGTAGGTACTAAGTTTTACAACGTAGGTACTAAACTATAGACAAGAGTCTCACGTGTGCGATAATTAATTCTGGATATGTCAGATAATTGATATAAAGACATGTTATTAACGTATGCTGCTTCCATTGTTTGGTTTTTTATATTTAACCCTTTACCTGCCTGATGTTAACTGACTAAAATTGTTACTGTTAATAATTCGAACCAGTTTTTAAAAGGAATTGGTTTTGTTATTCATGAGTAGTAAGTATTATTATAATTATTAATCTGTTTTTCTTAATTGATAAAATATTTTTTTAATCTTTAACGAGGAAGCTCTTGGCCTACATCTCACCTGATGGCAGTTTTGAAGATAAAGTTTGAAAATTATTTTTAATGTTTTTTGCAGAAATGTTTTGTGTTTTATAGATACTTTATGTACCTGTTAATGTTTATATAACGATAATAATAACGATCGAAAAAAATGAGTAATAATCACATACTATTTTCCTTTGATTGTTTTATTGTATGATATTGTGTTGTCGGTAAGAGAACCAAGGTTTATGATGATTAGGTGTCGCGTGAGGTATCTAATGTAATATTCAATGTCTTGTAAGTTGTATTTACTTGATTAAGGTTATAAAATATTATATTAAGGTGATTTGAAAACACCGGAAAATGTATAATTTATAGGATCGTTGATTGATTATTCCTTATGTATCATCATATTAACAATCAAAAGGTAACTGTTGGATTTGTCAATTCCATTTTTTCAAGTTATTTAAAATTTTGTTTGAGATTTGACTCTTTAACGCAAAAAAAATTAATAACACTTAGATTAACCGGCTTGTTAAAAATATATTTTCATTACGATGTCAAGTTAATTATGCAATGATAATGTTTTAATTGTAAGCATAAATGATCCAAATCGTAGCGTCACTGAGCCCTGCGTGTGCGCAAGACAGGCACATCAGTCCATTCATTTTGTCGAAAAATCGCCTCTATTATAACTGCATTAAGATGCCAGTGCATAGCTTGACGTGCCTGTATTTGTTTTCGTGCCAATGTCATCGCCTGCGCAGTTTTCCTTTTTGTGTCACCCCTGAAGGTCGCCATCTTCGCGTGCACACGAATTTATGTAAACAATGGATTGGCAGCCATTTAATATGTACTTCGATTCTATTTCCATTTTTTATTGCACAAGTATTGTTTTTATGATTGCCTGATACGGTTTAGTGTAACAGACTATTTATAGCACGCACTATTGTTCATCTGAGCAAAAAGTGGTATTGTCCTTCTGGTAGTACTTAATATTATACAGCTATGCATAAATTATTAAGCGTATCAAAAATACCAATATGTCTGAGAAAACTCCATATTGACCATGTTATTAAAAGATATTGTGCCAATAAATAGATAATGTGCTTGAGAAAACCTCCAACTTTATTCACTTATCTGTAATCTAGATTATTGAATGTAGGTAATCGAAAGTCAATTTTCTATTACAGATTTTCTAAACCACACACGAAGCCGAGCCCTAGTTTAGTCGTTTGCGCAATTCTTCAAACAATAGATAGATAAAAGACTACGCTCGATTTCATCAAATTTTTACGATATAATAGACGTACCTAATGCTCAACAATTTGTCTTCACAAATGATGATATTATTTAAAAATAAGCGAGAAATTATAATTTGGAATTGCTTGACAGCTAAGAGTGCCACAATCAGGAAGCCATCCGATGTTCTGTAATTACACGCGGTCCTCCAACCCCTCATTACATTTACGTACCACCATTAAACATAATCAAGCTCTCATCACACACGGAGATGGAGGAAACAATAAAACGAACACTTGCAATAAACTGAGACTGGACATTTATATTAGCAATGCCATAAACCATAAACAATCGACGACTAAAAGCGTTTTAAAATTTAAAAAATGGAACGCCCTCGTTCCATTCCAGCTGGGGTAATTTAAAAATTTGATTTGAAAACGGAATGACAAGTGCGGAAGCGTTCAGAACTCCCCCCGGTGTGTTTAGTGCCCCACGCACGGTGCGTGCAACCCTTCATTACGACCTACGACTATTATGGCGCAATCAACCTCTCGGCACATACGCGAAACTGAGGAAACAATAAAACAGAATTGACGTATAAAACCACTCCTTGAACTAATTTCGAGTTGAAGCCTAGACTGCTGAGTAAAACACATTCACTGACTATAATTTCTGAGCAGTTTGGATTTGTGTTAGTATCGATTAGGTCCGACTGTTGATTCTTGTGGAACTGATATTAGAATAACAGTAATGGGTTTAGTAAATGGCAAGTTCTTATCTTACCTAGCAAGTGCTTAATAATAATAATAATAATAATAATAATATTTTATTTCCAAAAAGATATACATATTCTTGACTAAAATAACAATGTACTTAAACTATGCACTAGTTATTGACCTATTTAAATATTTGCCAGTGAGACCCAAACTAAGCAGTATAGCTTGTATCTTGGGTTTCAGAGCTTAATTTACATAAAATTGTTTTATTTCTATGTTTATTATAATTTTTAATTCATTAAGCGTAATCATCTAAATTATGTAAAAGTGAATCAAATAATATGACGCTTAAAGTTAGTTTTTCAATAAAAATATTCCAAAAAAATAAAATCAAAACTGAGCAATGAAAAAGGGTTTTCTAAAACTCCAACAGACTTTCAAGTTTACGGTGCAATCTTTGAAGTGAGATCGCGCAGATTTTATACTATCCAATTAATACTAAGAATAGTTAAAGTTCCCTTTAAATTAGTCTATCACAATCAGTGTCATTTCCTCGCGTAAACACGTTCAGAGATCGAAAAGTGCTCGTAAAACAAGATGACTGCCGAGATTGCTTCCTCTTTCATACACGTAAGGAGACCTCGGCTAATAATTATTGAGATGTAAAATTTACACTGACACACGTTTATGGGACGATACGTGAGAGATGAAACGCGAGCCGCCATTTGGAGCGATATTTTACAGCAGGGATGTTATGGTTATGAAGTTTCGGTTTCGGATATTAGAATAATATTATACCGTTTTCGGTTACGGTTACGGATATGAAATCATTTCGGATTATCCGAAAGTTTTGGATAATTTCGGTTATGGATATTAGAATTTTTAAAATGTAAATTCAAATAGCAAGATGCTGCGCGACCCAAATAGCCACTTTATATACTATAACGACACCTATGATAAAGGTGAAACAGGCGGGGATATTAGATGGTGCGATGTACCTACATTCAATAATGCCAGACAAGTAACAAATATGAAAAAATATTAAGATTTAGACTCCGCCTTTATCCGTAACTTTTTAATCGGTTTCGGTTACGGATGTTTTTTTACTTCGGATATCCGATAGTTTTGGTTACGGTTACGGATATCCATAGCATCCCTGTTTTACAGCTTGTGTTTGTGACACGCTGCGTTAATGGACTCTTGAAGCCTCTCACGCGATGGACGAGATAATGCACCCATGAATAGGTCATCTTAATTTATCGAGAGGAAAGTTCCGGCCAGTCGCTAATCGAATCACATGCGTGCGATTTATGGAATCGATAACAGAAGCGATGCGTATCTAACGGATCCTTTAATGATTCAGCCACTCAACGGTACCGGATTATAATTGGAGGTTCAGCACATGCATATAGCGTGCACTAATAAAGTTTAACTATTACATTACTCACATCTCTAATTATATTTGCTCGTTAGGCAGTTAAACATTAGTATTAGCATTGACGCACTTGTTTTTTGAAATTATTCCTGTTTAGAATATTTGTCAAATAAACACTATTCGATAACAATCTTAAGACTAGGAAGTGGATCGGAATTAAATTATTTATTTTAGTTTCTATTTATGTAACCCTTAAGTATTGGTTTGTCGCTCGGATATAGGTCACCCGTAACAAAAAATGGAATCGGCGTTGACAATGAGTGTTCGAGGTCAGTTTTTGCCCGTAATTATGTATTTATTTACTTAGTAATTACTTATCCATCCACGACGGCATTGATATTATCGACCTCTGTTTTTTACAACTCAGTATCAACCAGTATAAACAAATTGTTACAAGTGCCATTGATTCTAATGTAAAAAACACTGGATGGACTGGTCTACACAAATACCTATCTAAATTAACCAATGACGTTAATTAATCTTCATTAGTTATTTATTAAATAATGTTTTTTTTACTGAAGTGGCGTAACTCTAAAATGCAAAATATCTCAGAAAAAAATGTTTAAATTAGAATTACCTTCGTATGGACTTTTATGTCTTTATTCAAATCAGGTGTCACTCTAGCGTGTAAAGGGTTAACACATATTGCACACGAATGTCACGAAGGCACTTGTAAAAGTTTTGTGAAAATTTTCTGTTTATCTATTTTGTTTTGATAAATTATTTGGATGCTAACTTTGTTAAATTAACTATTTACTGCCACATAATTTTCTGGTCGTTTTATTTGGAGTCTTCGAGTGACAATAACGTATTAAATGCAAGTTTAATTCTAATTTAAGAGGTAAAGAAAGGGTTAAATGTACTTACTGTGTGGTGGCGTTAATGAGAGCGCCGAGACAGCAGCCGGTGGCACTGGCGGGAACATGTCCTGGTGTGGCGGGAACATCCTCGGCGGCGGCGGGACCTCGGCCTCCGGCTCGTCGCTCTGCTCCTGCTTGGGCGGCGACCGCGGCCTGGCCAGCCTCACTGCCTTCAGTCCACAGCTTGGTGATCTCCTCATCGATAAATTCTCCGGTGTATCTGACTCTCCTGAACGTCTGCGCGGTCTCGCTTGCTTCCTCCTGGGCTGCGGGCTCGCGGGGCTCACTGGCGGCGATGGGGCCGGCGGCGTCGTCTGCACCGGACTCCGCGCCAGCGGCGTAGGCGGAGGCGACCTCGCATGCTCCTCTCTATCCTGATCTGCCAACCCTCGCACCTGGAGCGACTCTCCCGCCCGAATCACAGTCCCGAGCTGTTCCTGCGCCACAGACACCTCCCCGCGGTACATAAAGTCCACCACCGCTTGCACCTCCCATCCTTGAAAGTCTTTCAACACGATCACGGGGTGTTTGCACGGGTTCTCGCTGAATATTCGCCGAAACAGAGGACTGCACGCGCCGAGTAAAACTTTGTGAGCGCGGACGCGACGCTCGGCGCATACGAGAGTGACGTCGACGAGGGTCTCGGCGTGCAGCAGGGCCTCGAAGGAGCGCAGCAGGTGCGCCTGGTGGTTGTTCCAGCGCAGGCTGTAGTGCTCCTCGCCGCCGACGGCGGTGGTCTTGTCGTCCATCGCGCGCGCCGGTGTCAACGCGTGTGATGGAGCCGCGGCGCGGTCCTCCGGCGGGCGCTTGCGCGGCCTCGCGCCGCCCTCCGCCCGCTTCGCACCCCGCACTCCAACCCTTTCGTCGCTCAAAGAGTCGCCTTCCCGCCGGACCGCAATCCTCGCATCGCACCACTCCACAGATAGTAAATCGTGTCCGAAAGCACTGGCACAGGTAGGTTCGAGTTTGAGAGCACTTCACGGCACTGTTCGGTCCACGCGAAGGGTAGCGACGGGAGCGAAGGTGCGTGCGTGTACCGCGGACGGCTCGCGAGCGCGGAATGAGCTGGGAGACGAGCGCGCGGTGCGGCGGTGTCGCGCGAATGCCGAATATCGGGTCGTGCGGTGGACGGGCAGTGGCCGCCCGCGCCGGTGGGGCCCGCCCCCGGCCCCGCCCCCGCGCACACACGCGCGGCCCGCGCCCCCTCGCCCCCCTCTCGACACATGTGTCACATACCTACACATGTGACGCCTCCTACGCTCTATGTATTTTTTGGATACCTACACCTTGTTGAGGCGTTACCGTTACCGTTATGGGTCGTAACGGCACAAGAGTATTCTTATCAACTGAAACGACCAAAACAACAATAGAGCCTCTATCTACGTGGTGTCTCTTGAAAGCAAAGAGGTAGGTTATTGTGTGTCTGATAAGGGAACATTGAATTAAATGGTAGGTACAACCTGTAGAGCTGGCAGCTTACAATAACAACTCTCTAGATAGAACAGTATGTATGTATCGCCTCTGAAGATAAGAAAAGTTTGCCTGAAAATTAAAACGCTGGCTTATTTTTGATTACCAGAGAACTTACAATATCCTCATCCTCAATGATAATTTTGTTAATTATAAATTATTTGTTTTGGAAGTTATGGCAGTTAAAGGGTTAATTATTGCATTTACTAGTACAGCTACAATTATTATCATAAGTTTTTAGAACTTTTAAATGGTTATGGAATTAATATTTCTGATTACATTATATGCAACACGAACAGAAGAATTTTGGAATAAATATTTAGATACCTAATTTGGTGATATTATTATTTAATGCAACTTGTTGTTTCTTGTTCTTATTCTTGGCATTTCTTTACTATAAAATCATTCCTAAAAGTATTTCCATATTTAATACATTTCCAAGTTTTCCGACATACTTCAGTATTTTAAGCGATCCAGATTCAACAGATGGCGTTACTGGTTCTTCACGTTATCTACGTGGTGAGTTACGGTATGAAAATAATAAGAAATGACCTAGTTTTCCTACAAATCAAATGAAACATATTCGTAGTGGGTATTGGGGTTTGATTTGTAATTCAGTTAAGGGTTTCTCAGTCAAGAATTAAAAGGAGATGGATAAAAGTAACTCAGTACGGGTTTTGTGTCAATATCAGAAGTCTTGCCAGAGATAAGAAGTAATTCTTTGATATAGAATAGCATAGAGAAGGTTTGCAACAAAAATACTAACTTTTATGCGTTACGAAGGACGCTTATAAAGCTCTCAAAATATACAATGCAATTTTTTTTATCCACAACGAGGAAGCTCTTGGCCTGTATCTCACTTGATGGTAAGTGACGATCAGGCCGAAGGTGGAAGCGATTAATTGTATTTTAGTGTAAAAGAGGCACATCTCGAAACAATATTTCTATAATTTGAAAAAATCTAATGGCCTGAGGTGGGAACCGAACCCATGCAATGTAAATGTTCTTTAATAATCTGCTTGATATAAATTGACAACTTTTCATGTGTTGCGATTTTAAGGTGACAGTTGCGACTGCATGTTAATTTTGCCCAGCGTTGGGCATTTTCTCTACCAAGCTCCTCTATAACACTGTGGAAGATAACCATTACACTTTAACGGAGGTACATAAAGTTTTCTTCCTCATTTTGTACGCGGAAGGATCGAAAGCGAAACTTTAGTCTCAAGTTTTACGGATATTTTTTACCTTGAACTTCGCATTTTTGGTCAAAGACCTTTTTATCAGAGGTTGTTTTATCTAATCTTCGAAGACGAATATAATACATTCAACGGTATTTTGCGAGCTTCGAGTGGTTTGGGCCTTTTTGTGCTGGAAAAATGAGTAGTTATTAAATAGATACTACACAGGCATCAAAGGATGAAAATACTTTCTTTTTTAATTTTTGTAACTATGTACCTACCTATGTGTGATATGAATAAACATGTTTTCTTTCTTTCTTTGTATCGAGGGTTTAATTTTTATTTCGTTTGCTTCGAGTTTTATTGTATGTAAAATGTAACGAGAGGCAGGTAAATTTCAAATCAGCTTATTTATTTCTCAAAATCATAAAACTGACACACCGTGCTAGTAATAATAATAAAATTATAGTTTAAAAATCTAAAAATAGAATAATTACTCTTTCCAAAAATTTGTTAAAAGCCCACGAATTAACTATAATCCGCTTAAATTGCTGTTTAAGTAGGATTAGCGCGGATTAAGTTTCCCTAGTTAATTGGTTACTCATACTTGGAACTGAGTCATTCATTAATGATTTTGTATGACGATATAGGTATGTATATTATTCACCTTTCAATATATAAATTCCTAACATTATGAACTACAATTTATTTCAAGTTAGTTAAAATCTTTGTTAGAAAGAGGTACTGATGCATCACAGCCTGTGTTTTAGAAGGATATAACCATATATCTTGCGTACCATTATGTAATACATCATAAATCATAACTAATGTTGTTCTAAAAGGTTACTGAAGTAGTTTCTCTACATATATTTTGTTCATAACTCGTCCTAAAATATCTTTTTAACATTAACATACTGCGACACTTTTGGAACAATATGAACATTAAGTCTGTTAAAATTCCGGAATCCAGTATACCTCGATATGTAGAGGACCTTAAATAATACTTAACTGTTCATCTAACTCTATTATATTACTTTGGCAAATAGAAACAATATTATGTTGTAAATATAATTCATGATTACTATCATGAAACAATTTATTAATTGTAACAAATAAACATTAAGCTAAATATTAAGGCCAAGGTTACTATTTTGAGGCAGTCAAGGGTTTAATATTTTCGTTTCCCTTTACAAATCGTTGCAACAAAATAACATCTCAAACTCCAACTAACCGCTATGAGTTAATCAACACATCATAAAAGGCTAATCAACTCGTTATAACTCGAACAAATTCTTCAGCAATTATACACTTTGTTGGCGGTCCAGGCAATTACAGTTATTGTAGGTGTCGGTTAACAGGCCGATCGCGTGGTCACCCGTTAGCCATAAGCGGTCATTATTATACTCGACTTTGAACGATAGCTTTTATTTTTGTATAAATAGAGCTTATTTGCCATGTAGGTATTGAGTTTTTTCGTCTAATTCCTTCTTTCGCAAATTCTTCCAATATCCAACGATATTTCATTCAGAAGTAGTGGTAGAGCAAAGTGGTAGGTTAGGTTTGGGTTGATAACTTACGCCCGTATTCAAAATATTACTATGAGATCTCACAGAACGCGTGGACGCACAGGGTGACACACGAACCAATCACAGAGCTCTATTCAACCCTGTGCGTCCGATTTGCTGCTTCACATAAGCAAGCATCGTTTGTGATACGGGCGTGAGTGCCCTAAAAGAGTCGATGTAGGTAGTAATCAATTATTTGAATTATAATAATTTGTGTTAGTAATGAAGACATAACAAAGGCATATTTCACAGTTCCCGCAATTTTTCAGCTTTGTTTCTTGAGAGCAAACTTTGCTCACACGATTTTCAACAAATATTGGTTACCGTTTGCATTTGATTTTCTTCGTATCTAGGATAGTACCTATTAACAAAAGGACTATAGGGATCTTATAGTTTCCCTTCCAGCTTTGATACATGTTCTTTTTATTCTGCAAATACTAAACTACCCTACGTTACGTAAGTCTCTCGTGAGTTATGTTAGTAGTACCGCGCCACGGGAGGCCCTCGCCTCCTAGGGCCCAATCGGCATGAGACCCAGTAGTTAGAAATAGTGGGATAGATTTGAAATGATATTGGTATAGGTACTTTAGTTTGTTGTGCCTGTTATTTAGAACAATTCAACAAAGCTCTCTATAAGACATTGACTCCTGTAGAGGTCTCGATCAGTACCTCTAGTAGGAAAAACTTTCGAGTTCGTTTCGTTGCGTATTCAAAGTGTCATCGAAAAATTTTGTATGAAAAATTAAACAGCGCCCCCTAGGGCGGCTATAATATAGGGGGCGCTGTTTAATTTTTCATACAAAATTTTGAATACGCAACGAAACGAACTCGAAAGTTTTTCCTACTAGAGGTACAGAATCAGCGTTATTGACCGCAGTAAAACGTACCACTGATTTTCAGTGTGGTGTTGTTTTCACACAGTTGTTTTCTTAACTAAGCTTAAATTCATACAAACAATATTTCTATAACTCTTGTTTTGACTCTTCTTCTAAAGACACTAAATAGTTTTCACTTCTAAATCTAATGGGCAACTGTAGGGGTCTGACATGCCTCAATCAGGTAGTTGGCGTCACCAATCAATTGGCATACCTTTTGCAAGTTGTCAAAACGTGATCTCCCCATAGAAACTTATGACATCACTATTAGCTAATTTAATAGAGATTTTGAAGCAACTGAAAAGCGGGATTTTCAGGGTTCGATTGAAGAGTTTTATTAAGAAAGTTGTGTGTCTAGCATTAAAGTATATTATCTTTCTTTTCGGATAATCACAAGAATACCTATATTCTAACCAAACTGGGTATAATTAATTACCTAAGTGATTTTTGGTATTTCGCCGAATCTCAACGTTTTTGCATGATTTATCTGACCCATATCTTAAAGGGTGGATTTTAGAACTTATCTTTTAGACTATTAAATGTTTAAGTGCATTTCTATGAAAGGCAAATAATATTAGTAAAAGTTTTTAACACTTTAAATATTTCATGGACCAAGTAAGTAGAATAATCATAAACTGTAAAATTACTTCTATGGTAATTAAGTGAGCTCACTGTAAGTTTTTTTTTTTTTATTTTTTTTTATCCACAACGAGGAAGCTCTTGGCCTGTATCTCACCTGATGGTAACATTTATAGTGTGTCCTAGTAGAACCCAGGATAAACGAAAGAACCCAACGGTCTCACCACTAGAACATACACTGCGTTGAAGTCCCAGATGAATAAACTCTTGAAAAAGAGGCTGAAAACAGTGACTGAGTTTCTTGCGCTGCTTCTTTTCTCAGCACTGGTCGATTTATTTTCCCGAAGCAGTGGTAGGGTTAAAGTGTCTGGGAAGTGTTAAAGCGCTTTTTAAAAGCCTATTTGCAAAAAAAGATTTTTTAAAGTTTTTTATTACCCCCAAACGTA